TATTATAAGTACGAGGTACCTAGTAAATGTAATGTAATGTTTATTTATTTTTGTTAAGGTGGATTTCAGCAGAAAAAAATGACACTGTTTTATGTGGCTATCTTTAAAATTTTCAGAGGTATTTTTTTAACTGCTATCTCAAATCACTAGCCAAGCATGAGGATTATAGCAAACCCAGCTGGGTTTTTAGTAGACGCATGCTGATGGCGAATGGTGGTGATGTGTGATTGAAAACGAAAATTATTTTAGATAAAAACGTCTTGAGTCTAAAACGTTTGAAAAATCCCCGACACTACAGGAAAACAGATGCAAAACATGGTACGCGCCACAGCTTAAGATAACAATTCAAAGAAAATATTATATCATATCGTATCATTTTTTGACATAAAAAGACAATACATGATCTGAAACAACAGAAATGACGCATTTCTTTATTTTTGCTATAACTTTAAAATGTCTATGTGAATCATTTTATCAAGGTAATGCAGTATGGTTCGTGTTTATTTTTATCTTTAACATTTTAAATTAAAATGTTGTCAGTACTTTTATATTGCTAAGTATCTAGTTGGTACGATTATGTGATAACTATTGCCGTGATAGGTAGAGATCTATAACTGCCAACACCAACGCAATTTTAGTTCTTAAATTGAGTATATTTATAAACTAAAATTGTGTAGTACGTACGTTTGATAGATGATAGTAAATTGTGTACAACGGCCAGCAGATCAGCTTACTTAGTATATCATCTCTCAAATTTATTCATTGGATTTTCGAATTTATATCAACACAATAAAGTTGAAGATGTAATAGATAAATAATTACCAGAAAAGGATAGGAGGACCTTACGATAGTACACTTTTTAAATAAAAACCTGTAGCAAACTTGTAGGGTGGTGTAGAAGAGTATAGAAATCTACACCACCCTATTTTCCCTGTGGTCGCTCGTACCGAGGGCCGAGTGGATACCAATACCTATCGCGTAATGATGGTCGACCATCAACTATGGCGATTATACTTAAGTAATAAAAACAATAACTAAATATGTATAACAGAAAGAGTTAAAATCTGACCTGTCAGATGACATGTTGGAATAGGAGGAAAAAACGTCTGATTATAGATATAATATGTATTTTTTCCGTGGATAATTCCGAGTAATTAACGATAAAATAATAAATACTAAATTAATAATAGGTACTCATCAATTCGTCATTGATAAAAAGACAGTAATTAAAATCATTCCATTATTAATTTCGAGTATCAATCTAATCATGAAACGAACGCTTAACAGTGCAAATTGTGTCTTACCTATTGTACGCAAAAGGTACTTGAAAGACTTCGATAAAATTTATATTAAATGAATCATTGTAACATAATAAGGATACCTATTGATTACGTAATTTAGTATATTACTAGCGACCCGCCCCGGCTTCGCATGGGTGCAATATGCATGTATTATACATATAAACGTTCCTCTTGAATCACTCTATCTATTAAAAAAAACGCATCAAAATCCGTTGCGTAGTTTCAAAGATTCAAGCATACAAAGGGACATAGGGACAGAGAAAGCAACTTTGTTTTATACTATGTAGTGATGTTACAGTACAATTTACAGCACGTCACCATAAGCTTTTATATTGGTCGATTTGGTCGGTCGGTAAACCAACCACAGAGGCCTTAGTACGAGTTTGCGTACGAGTACTCGTTACGACTACTTTAAACGTAAAGCAAACTCGTACTGTACGCCTCTGATAATGCTATGGAAACTAAATATTTTAGAATTGCAGTAGGTTGACGCTCTGTACTTTCTACCATATAACAAATTAACTAAACATGGATACCAGATTTGCCAAAAAAATTACCAAAACGGCAATGTAAATCTCACTTGTTCGATGCGTCATACAAGAACACATATACTGAACAACACCTTTATGACTCACCACACCGCAGAACTGATTATCACGTACGCGAACCACTGATATCAGCGTATTAGTCCAACCCTATTTACAAAACAAATAATGTTAAATTTTACTGATATGGCTACACGTAATCATCAGTTCCGTTGTACTGTATCGATTTTTATCTAAGTTGAGCATTTACTATTTTTTCAAGGTTTTTTTTTGTGTGTAAGGGGAAAACCGGGTGAGAAATGTGATGTGTAGTTGTCTCACTTTGGCAGTATATCAACCGGCTCCCGCCCTTAGTGTCAGACTCTTACTGACTAAAAACCACCCCGTACCTTCTCCTGCGAGTCGAGCCGGAGCCCCGGTTACCCGTTAGGTTCTCCGCGACTCGATATCAGCATCGGCCCTGTTGGGCCCCATCCGTGGTGGTCTACTGAATACTGGCTCTTTGAGACGCGTGCGAAAATCGACCCTTATTGTGCCAAATTACTGGACTATAAGTAATTCTATTTTGTTTTTACTATTGCCCTTTTTCAAGAGATCAAGTAACAATCTGACGTAACAATCTGACTGAGTTTTATGGCATGAATACTACTAATCTACTATAATTTGGTTTTAGATTCGTGTTAATTAATCTAGTATTTTGGTAATATTCTATTTAACTGATAATAATGGTTCATCTAAAAAGGAGGTTGAGTACGATTTCTATTCTGCAGTGCACTATAACTGTATTAGATCAGATAATATACGTACTTTTGGGAGATTTTACCAGTTGCTATTGCAGTATCTTTTCTATCGACTGCTGGGATTTATTGAATGTTTTAACCTCTTATCTGTCGATATATGAGACAATAGGAATCACATTGTGCCTCAGAAAGATCTTCGTTTCGGCAGACAAGAGGTTAATACTATTTCGGCATACAATTAAACAAAACTTACAATAAACTATTTCCATTTTAATTTAATTCAAGGTTCTTTAAAAGTCTGCGACACAGTCTCGATCAAAAAATGACATTGAAAAAAAAAGAGATAATATTTTTCAATTAATATTTTATTTATTTATATTATGTATTTGCCATTACTGCGTAACCAACAAGGCTGACATAGTTATATAATCATTATAAAGTGACGATGAATCGATACACGTCATCGAGTGACGAAATAAGCTAATCGATATAAAAATAATTGTGTTTTTATCTGTGCGTATATTTTGACAGATGGTTTTTCATTTTACTGGGGCTTTACGCTCAAAGGTTATTGTATCAAGTTTAATAAAAAAATATAGGTGATAATTTGTTTAAAAAATGTTAGTTGGTTCCCTCAGTTCAAGATTTGGATTTTAAAAATAGAAGTTAGCTAAGTATAGATTCGTGACAAAATATACGCACACACAGAACCAAAACGTAGCATATAGCCACCTTAAATGTAATACTTTTTTTATTGTATTATGTCAATTTTTTAATTTTTTTTTCTTGTTATATGGCACCACAGCCATTACTTGACAATCACACAAGTGACAAATTGTGCATGAACAAACACACTAATTTTACTTTTGAACCATTTTTCAGGCACATTATTGCTAATATTATTATTAATTTAAGAACAAAACGATACAACTTTTCTGTTGTCGCCTTTTTCACTACCACTAGCGCCATCTCTTGACAACATTAAGAACTAGGAATTAAACAAAAATGGCGGGGTTAATTGTACATCTTTTGTTGCTTGAAAATGGTTCAAAAGGAAATCTAAGCAACATTTAAACCTTACCGAAGCTAAAGTGTCATATTGCCGTAACAGCAGTTTAGTTAAAACATCACAACCGCCTCCCGCCATTTTGTAGCCTACTTATAAGCTCATTATTACCGAAATGACATGAGTTTAAATTTAGAACGTAACGTTGTTGGCACTAGAAATCGAAAGCGTTTTGTTACCAAAGAGGTCTGATATCAAAAGGTTTTATAGTCTATGTAGAATAGCGTGCGTCATCTGATAGCCAAGTTTTGTGGTCATTGGCTGTTTGATGTGTATATAGTTAAATAGTTGATGGGCTTCAACGTCTAGCAGCCTATTTAGAACCAATTTCCAAAGTTTTAAAATATTGCTCTTTTTTAAAAAAAAATGTATCTAATAGTTTGTACTTACTCGTCTTTTTAGACAGAATTTTATTCAAAGTCAATCATAAAATAAACCGAATATTCAATAAATAGTTGAGCAGATGTCTCAACAGACTACTGAACTTTGAAGCCCGTAAAACGCCGACCATTAAAAACGGGAGCCATAATCCTAATTTACAAAACCTAACCTAAATTACAATTTTCAAAAAAAAAATCAATACCTAATAAAAATTTGAATTTCATCTCCACGTCAAAATTTCGACAAGACATTTCAAACATGTTTTGTCAAGTGGAAAAAATTAGACGACAACAAATTTTTGTTTTTTTTTCTTCAAAAAAAAAACGACAAAAATACACCGATAAAACATTTTTTTTTTTTTAAAATTTTGTACTTCATAAAATCAGTATTTGAGAGCCGTCAGTTTTTTTTTGCTTAAATAGACCACACCTTAAATTTAAAAAGCCGTTTTATCGAAGGCTATTTTGTGACTATATTTTTTTTTCAAGTGTTCCTTTTTACTTACACACACAGTCAATACTTATAGAAAATATTTATTTCTCCCCAAGCACATCTCAAAAGCCACTGTCTCATACATAATTTTAAAAAACACGCACATCGTGCAGTTTCTATTCTCAAAAAACAATAATAATAATTTATAACAAAAATCTTTCAATAATTTGATTATAAATATTTTTTCTTTTACTAAATTAAAGATATGTACGAAATAAAATGTCGGGTAAAATAAATTATATAGGATGTTGGTTTACAACTCAAATTACACTCGAAACTCAACATAACCTATGTATAGGGTGCTGACAAAATTCTCTTGCACATAATTTTTGCACACACGTCCTAACAAACGTCACAATCGAAAAATCATTTCTTTTTAGAAAAAATACATCAATTTCGTCATTATTTTATTATTATTTTCTCATCAAATTCTCAAAAATATTTACAGCACAGTCTATTTCTAGTTTTTTTCATGTTTTTTTTTTGTCTAATTATTATTTTTATCCCGAGATCACGACGCAAGAATACATTGTCTGCGGCATTATATTCTTGTGCCGTGCGAAGCAACTTACAAGAACACATTTGACTATTATTTAAGAATCAATGTTCATTGAAATACGAACTAAATTAAGCTTAAACATAAAACATTAACTATGAAGTCCGTCTAAGGAATTAAATAAGACTTAACACACCGTCTGAGATCTGTCACTCACTTTTTTCGAGTTTTTTTTTCACAGTTTTTTTATCACATTTTTAAAAATACTGCTTCCTCTTAGGTGCTTCGTGGTAAAGATATGTAGTCACTTCGGCTGAAGTTTTGTCATTATATTTGATTAATGTTGAAAGTTGAACATTTTCAAGTATGTATGGGGAACCACGCGGATGTAGGTTAATGTTGTGACTGACAACCGAAATCGTTCAGGACGTGTATTTTTTACCTTTGCTTGGAGATCCCTGCGCGGGAGAAAAACATTATCAGTATTTTTCATATATTTTTTTTTATATTTGATGATCAAACGTGAAAATTTTTAGATATTAATGCTTAGCAAGTGGCGCTAGTGAGATCTAAGGACTCATATCCAATCAGTTACCAAACCTTGACATTACTTTATAATTAAATAGTCAATAGACCATCTATGTTACTAGCGCCTCTAGCGACGGGAAACTCCACAGTTTGCTAACTTTTAAAACTTAAAAGTAGACTTTAAATCTAAGGTAACATGTTAGATAATTACCTGGCAATGTCACGCGATGGAGTTGACAGCGTAACGCGGCCGCGAGCCCTCGGGCTGGTACAGCGTAATCGATGCTATATAGTTGTTTGACATCACCTGCAAATATATTAAAACATGTTTAAAGCTCTTTTAAATAAGCTGTTCTATTGTTAGTCAAAAGGTTGAATAAATTAATTACCTCTTCCCCAATACCTAAATCTCCAACAATCCACAAATTCCTAATCCCTCCTCTGGTGTTCCGGCTGTGCATGGGCGACACCGATTGCTTACCATCAGGTGATCCATCGGCTTATCCCATAAACGCGTGAAACAACTTGTGTTGTTTCCCCAAATGAGTGAGGTTTCCAGACGCCCAATCCCCACTCCAATTTCCAATCACTAAATCCCTACTCCTCAAATCTCTTACCCCCAAAAGGCCGGCAACGCACTTGCAACTCCTATGGCATTGCTGGTGTCTATTGGCGATTCTAATTGGCTAAGCTACAGGGAGCTAATATATTTTGGCTCACGAGATGGCGCTAGTGTGTACCTATCGATCTTCATCCAATAAGGTATCAGCTAGTGTCACATCATTGGACATTCGAATTTTGACATCTAAAGTGATTGGACAAAATTCTTTAGGCCGCTACAGAATCTTGTCTGGTGAGAATAAAAACAGTACCCATTGCTTACCATCAGGTGATCCGTCTACTCGCCCAAAAATGCTGCTCATTTTCATAAAAGTCTAAATTACCTCAAAAATAATATCCTGGTATCCATAGCAGAAGGTGGACCCGAATGGGTTGGTGGTGTTGGTGGAGGAGGCCCGGTTGAGTACGACGGGCCGCTCCGCCACGCGCAGTGCCCGCGACACGACCTCCCACTTACTGTACGCAGTGATACACACAGCGCCGCGACTCTCGACTAGCGAGTTTGTGTCGCATCTGTACAAATAGGTCATAGATTATAAGTAAATAAATAAAAAATATTCATAAGTAAAAGCATTAAACCATGATTTCTATATAAATAAAAACGAATTCCCATTCGTTTGTCTCGCTAAAACTCTAGAATAGCTGGAATGATTTGGCTAATGTCTAGAAGTCCAAGGAAGGTTTAAAAGGTGAAAAAAAAATTTTGGTGGCATGCGCGGTCGCGGCGATGTCGAGCAGCCTATGGTTCGAGACTAGTAGAGCTTTTCTCAGCATATTCACGTGAGTAACCCGCGATTTTTATTTAATTTAGTATGTCTCACGATAGTTATTATAAAGGCATGAAGTTTGCTCGGTCAGCTAATAAGTGATAATCACGCTAATCCCTTTTTGCGGCTTGAGGAAAAAAAGTGAACTTATTACCACAATTCACGTTCAAATCTTGACTCCTTAATGTCAAAGATAATTACGAAAAAAAAAAACACCTGTAGTAGCTGTATTTGATACGGGAACCAAAACTAAAACTTTACCCAATTATAAATCATTCTAGTGAACATCAAGTATTCAAATCCTTTACTACTTATTCAATCTTTAATTTTCAAAGCGCGACATACTAATAATATATAAATACTAGCGGACCCGACAGACGTTGTCCTGCATATAACATAATAATAGGTATAGATAAATGACCTAGATATCAACTGCAGTGCCATCTGCCGGGCTGATTTGTGAATCTAAACCATTCACAGATCCCCTTGAACACACACAAAAAATTTCATCAAAATCGGTCCAGTCGTTTGAGAGAAGTTTAGTGACATACACACTCACAGAAGAATTATATATATAAAGATGTCTATCTATCTGTGTAATCTTACCTCCTAAATAGCAATAAAGATCTAGATGCAATAAACACTAAAGAACTCACTTATCAGGCTGCACAGTGAGTTCGAACTCGCACCGATGGTACATGTTGAAGTTGTAGTGCCCCGGGTAGTTCGTATGGAGCACGAACTTCTTCACCTGGTGAGTACGTGCGTCGAATAATATGTCCTGAAATATTAAAATGTTATTTAGAGATCTTTTATTTAACGATTTATTTATTTCTTAACTAGCTACTTCTGCGCGGTTTCACACGCTCTGCTCAGCTCCTATTGGTCGTAGCGTGATGTTTTATAACCTACTAGCGGCCCGTCCCGGCTTCGCACGGGGGGACTTAAGATTTTTTACATAGAGATAGTTTTACGTTTTATTTATATTTATTCTCAGTTTTTTTTAGCGACCTGCCCTCCGTTGTCGATGTCGCGTCTTAAGGTAACCGATTGAACAATTCAAAAGTTATCTAGAGCAAACTTTTATAAGGATTGAACCATTCATTAAAACGATTGTTATGGGTAAACTATAAAAGGTAGACATATGCTGTTAAGATGAATAATTCATCTATAGAGCATTTTTGTATAACTTTAACTATATGCTCAGCGCACGCCACGGAAGGCCTCAGAATCGATACTTTTCCCCGTTTTTAAAACATTTTTGGTTACTGCTCCACAACTATAGGACCTAGCGTGATATTATATAGCCTATGTTACTTCTGAATAATGCAGCTTTCTAATGGTGAAAAAATTATTGCAATCGGTCCAGTAGTTTTTGAGTTTTTTTATTACAAACATACAAAAATACAAAAATACAAAAATACAAATCTTTCCTCTTTATAATATTAGTATAACCTATAGCCATCCTCGATAAATGCGCTATCCAACACAAAAATAATTATTAAAACCAGGCTTGTAGTTCCGGAGATTATCGCGTTCAAACAAACAAACAAAAAAACCATCTCTTCCGCGTTATATAATAGTATAAGATAAGTTATAAGATAAGGTTCAGATTAGATGGACTAAATCTAGGACTCTTCTAGGAAATAGTTCTTGAATCTTATCATACTTATGCTATTTATGGTGTACAATAATGAATCAAACGCCTTTTTTCTGAAGAGTTCTGCGAGTACACGATTTTGACATTAAGCGTTCAAAACAAAATAAATAAATAAGTCACATAATCAATTTAGTCATTGTAAAGCAGATCAGAAGCCAATCTAATCATTAGTAGACGGTAAAAGACTGAAAAGACGAAAAGACCAAGTAGACTAAAAGTCAAGCACGCTAGCTTCATCGTATTTTTACGGCTCAAACATATACTATATAGTAGTTTAAATTGAAAAATAATAACTTGAAAGACTAACCAATCCTAAAGTAAAGTAGTTGAAGAAGTAATCAGAAGCTGGCGGCGGACGCCTACGAGCGGTGGGGCGATGTATGCGCATCTTGTCGTCAGCTTTGTAATACGTTCGAGCCGGAGCGCCTAGTGCAGCGCATACACGCTGCGCCGAGCTACCGAAGCGAACCACACGGCACACTGAACGACCCGCGCCGCCTTCTGAGAGAGATCGGCCTGGGCCTGGAAAAAACAATACAGGTAGGTACATAATAGTTAATTTGGGACAGTTTTAAATAATAGTAAACGCTTATAATGCATAACAGTTTGTATGTAAGTCATCTATCCTCAATATCAAAAAGTCGAGACGCGTCGTCTCGCTTTGAAAATGAATAAGTCTGTCATTAAAAAAATGAACATTAATTACAGCTATAGATAAGACAAACACATAAAAAGTTTCTTTATAAACTATAATTTAAAGAAAAAATAGCAGTAAGTTGGTCAACTTACTGCTATTTTTTCTAAAGTACTGGTACTGCGAAAATATAGTTTGCAGTAAGAGGGTATTAAATTCATAGAATTTTCAGTATTAAACTACATATCTGAAGTAGAATCGCTTATAAAATCTAATCCATCGTCCACCATAATTTTTACTTGCTTGAATTTGTACCATTAGTCAACGGAAAGTTTAAAAAAATCAGTATTTACTAGGTAAATTTTTAATTAGGGGTCTACTCCCATACAAATATTCTTTACCTTCAGTAAACATATGCAGTCGCAGTCCTTGCGTGGCCGTAGCGCTGCGCAGTACATCGCAGCGCCGCAGGTGCAGCTGGTGGCGGTAACACGAGAGAGGGAGCTCGGGGAGCGGCGCGCCGCATACACCGCCCGGGCTGCTGCTGTTAGCTTGCTGTGGATATTAATAGAGGTATTATTATTGATTTTGAATGCATAAAAGGCCGATTGAATATCAATTTCCACAAGTTATGTATAAAAAGACTCAAACAAAAAATCGTATTTGGTAGTTTGGTATAAAACAACCCATTGTTTTTCTAACCCTGAACTCTAGTCAAGGAAAAAGTTCAATTTTTTTAGCAAAGTCGTCTCTCGGACGTAACTGGTACTGAAAGCTAGCTCTAGAACTTAAGATCCACAAAGCCACCATAAAATAAGTAAAAAAAAAAACATGTAAAATGTCGTCACTAACCTGATGTTGAGATCCATAGTAGATAGTGGTTCGCGACACGACTGGAGAGCCTCCGTTAGGGAACTGTAGGGAGCCCAGCCCGTGGGCGTACCCAGGCTGGAACAAAAACATATCCTACACTATTAAAATAACTATATTTTCTAAAATAACATGTTAAAGTGCAGCGTCCATTTTACATAACCGCTTACCCGTTGACAAATGAGTTTCTCTTGGTATGACTACCGAAATGTATTTAAAAATTATTACAATATTTTATTTTGGGTTCTATTTTCAATAATTCAGGATACAGTTGATTATATCTGCTGATTAATAAACGATCTAATGATCAGCCGCGCGCGCCATCGTGTTTAGACATTACTATTGGTTTGAAGTCGATTTCGAGTTTTATTTTTCACAGTTATTAATAATATTTTTTTTTATTCAAAAAGCAAGTTATTACATGTTGATTACACTACCAAGAGAAAATCATTTAACCGCAGAAGAGCAGTAATGTAACATTTACGCTGTACGTAAAAAATCATTGTGAAAACGAGGTCCTAATTTTGTTCTCCGATTGAAGAGAGTTTGTCCATCCATGTATGCATAAAAAAAGAAGTATTTGTAATGGTTAATATAGTTCTAAGTACATTATAATACGGTACATTTTCACTCACCACTATCATTTTCTGAAAGACGAGTCAATCGGTTACAATTCAATAGCTTAATAGTAACAACAACTTTAAGGTCTATTTTCCTACTATTTAGCATTGCAAATTATAAACCAAGCTACCTTATAACTATGATATGACTTCATTCGATTTTCGACTTTCTCACAAAGTAATAAATTGAAATTCCCAATATTTCAAGTAGCTTGGTTTATGCCATGCTCCATGCTCAAAATGTCAAAATAGTGGTAGTTATTCAAGCAATTCATAACAAACAAACAAGCAAGCAGACAAACAAACATTTAAAATATAACAGTTCGTTATAGATACTTACCTCAAATTTGCTATCAACGGGGAAATAAAAGGAGAGTCCTCTGAAGTTGAGCGCGAACAGATGTCGCTGGGAGTCATAGAGACCGGGGTGTGTCGCCCCGAAGCAGTGCTCCACCTGCTCTATGGAGGGGGAGATCTCGGGCGAGTTGAAGCACATGCCACTGAAAAAATATTGTACATTATTTTAGTTATCTAAGATACTACTGGGTTTTAAAAAAATTCTCAGTGGTAGCACGGAGTCTGGAACTGTGCCCGGTATATGGCAATAGGCTCACCCCCTAATACATGGGACTCATAACATAAATAGAGAAAAATTGGGGGTTATATTGTACATTGGCATTAAGTGCCGTAATGTGCACCTCCGCCTACCCCTTCGGGGATAAAAGGCGAGAAGTTATGTTATGTTAAAGATAAAGATAATTTATTTGCATAAACATGTCTCATTCGTACAAAAGCATGCAAGATGTTAATTGTCTAAAATCAGTGTCCAATACATGTTTTGCCCTTATGGACGTACAAGTTCAATTTATAGTAATTACAATTCATATTAAAGATGTCAAAATTAATTATTATTAAATATTACAACATGTAACGGGTCAGGGTCCCCTGAGGATGGGGGCCATGGGCTCGGGTCCCTAGTGCCATTATGGTAAAGACGGTACTGAAGGTATGCATCATCATAATCTAACAATTGTTTGACACAAAAGATTCAAGACATGTACAGATTGTACTAATCAAGTAGTAACTTTAATCTGACATTGACTAGTGATATAACATAGCAACAGTCGTGGACAGTCGCATTATAATGTCATTAGGTCGCCACTATATGATATACAAACTATACCTATAAACTACAACACGAAAGGGTAGACAGAAGTGCACATATTAGATGTTTAAACATGGGATGTTTAAGATGCTTCGGCAAGAATAGGTCGACTCGACTGGAGTGATACCACGGCCGAGCAGAAAATCGGCGTGAAACAACCACTGTTTTGCTTCATCATCATCAACAGCCTATGCAGCCCACTGCTGAGCAAAGCCTCTTCTCACACAGAGAAGGTTTGAGCATTAATCCCTACGCTTGCTTGCACGAGTTAGGTTACCGGAGGCCCAATCTTACCCCCATACCCCATCTCTATAGGACCCTCTATATTCCCCAAAAAGACTGCAACGCTACTGAGTTTTTGCTCAGCAAATGGCGCTATGGTGCTTTGTTTCATGTTCTCGTTTTTCGTCCAATAGGGAATCAGTTAGTGTCACACCATTGGAGCTTCAATATTTGACAGCTGCGGTGATTGGACAAAAATAATCATGCTATATTTGCGCGCCACTACGGTAGCCCCAATGTAAGTCCTCCTGTGTTGCGACTTGTCCTTGGGCAGCGCCGATTGCTTACCATCAGGCGATCCGTCTGCTCGTTTACCGCCCTAACTCATAAAAAACAAGGAATACAATGAAATTCTCTCATATATCCGTACAACAATAATTATTAGCGTTTTATTCTAATAGGGTAGATGCCAAATTTTTATTTTAATGTCCGTCTGGTAGATTATTTTAAATAATTAGACACGTATTTTTTATTTTCTTACAGAAACGAACACTTTCGACGAGATATTGATTTAAAATTTCGCGTGACGTCACTTCTATGTACATTTTATACGTAGAAATGACGTTTTAGCCCCCACTCCTAAACTTTGATTCGTTTTATCTAAGTATAATTTTATTATACGACAAAATAAATAATACATGTCTAATATTTTTTCAATACCTAACTGACGGACTAATTAGATTTTTAATTTTCATACCCTGTGATCATCCCTTTTCTTACACTATGTTCAATGGAAACGAGATAAAATAAACTTAATAAACATAGGTTCTAAGTATATTTACCTAGTCCAGTTACTGTGACATCGAATTAATTATTATTCAGATCGCGTTAGGAACACAATGATAGCGTCGCATACATTGCCAGTCTAGACTAAGGACTAAGACATTTATATCTAAGGATTGTCTTGAATGCCATATTAATGCTTCTGAAGGTGTAAGGACATATTATTATGCAACATTCACTTGTTTTCAGTGACGTTGTGAGTCCAGGTATTAGATAAGTATAATTATCATTTGCGTAATTCAAGTGAACGGTAAATAGTATAATGTCATAGGGGGTGTATGTCACTGTGTGTCTGTTACTATAAATCGGACAGAAATCCAGACACTCCAAATAAATGCTTAAAATTTTTAAAAGGCCACAATATTTTACCTGACCCGCGCGACAGAATACTCCCGGGCACGTCGTTTCAAAAGTACCAAATTATGGTTTAATTGAAATAAATGCTTTGACTTTGCACCCGAGAATGTGTCATATACCTACTACAAACAACACATAAAGGGGTAAGCAGAGGTGCACATTACGGCACTTGATACACTGTACAATGTAACATCCACTTTTCACTATTTATGTTACGAGAATAGGAGGTGAGCCCATTGCCATATAGCGGGCACAATTCTATACTCCGTGCTACTACTGCGAATTTTTTTTAAACCCTGTTAAACATTGCCCGACACAGGAATCGAACCCGAGACTCCTTGCCCGGCAGTCGCACTAGCGACCACTCGGCCAAAGAGGCAAGCACTACAACTACAAACAAGTACTTATTACATAAAAAAGATTTTTATGTTAAACGCTTTTAATGGGCTTTCGTTCGACATCTATACCCATTATGGAGGTAGTTGTGAAAAAATAAATTATAATGTCGTGCTGGCCCGGAGGTTTATAAGACGCCCGCTTCTCATGCATCGAAACCTACCAACGGCAAGTACCAATGTGACTTTTTCCGAGTTATATGTACTTTCTAAGATTATTCAGACACCACTGACGAACGGTGAAAGAATACATCGTGAGGAAATCTGGGCTTATAATTTCTAATTATAAGTTTGTAATCGCCAACCCGCATTGAGCAAGGGTGGTGATTAATGCTCAAACCTTCTCCGTGTGAGAAGAGGCTTTGCTAGCAGTGGGCATTTTATAGGCTGTTGATTGTATGGTCATCAAGATTAGGTGTGTGTACCAAACATTAGATCAATCTGAGGCCTTAATACGAATTGGTTTTACGTTAAAATTATGCCGGGGCCAATAAAGCAACCAATTAGACCGCCGAACGCGTACTCGTTACGATTACTTTATAAGTAACACAAACTCGTACTAAGGCCTCTGTCGTCGGGCCAGGGTTGAAATTGTAATAACTTTTGACCCAAACAAACGGGCCAAGCCAAATAAAACCATTTAACAATTGATTAATTATTAAAAATTATTAATTACA